CGCGGGCAGCTTCGCGATCATCGGCGATCTGGAGGATCTTGTCAAAACCCCACTTCTCGAGCTTCTCACGCGGGATCCACGAGTTCTCCGTATCGGGGAGCTTCATCCACTTGACCTCGTACTCGAACGACTTCTTGAGCTTGCGGCGGTTCTCGATCGACTCGAAGACGCGCTTCTCGCCTTCCCAGTTGACGGGCTTGGCGAGAAGCTCCTTCTCTTCCGGCGTCAGCTTGCGCGTTTCCTTGGCCATGAGTTCCTTGTCCTCACCGGACTGGAAGCGCCACTGGATGTACTGGTTGGCCGAGATGTCCAAGTGCTGCTCAATGTGGTGGAAAGCGTGCTGGGCGACGTACGCAAAGCGCATCGCCGGGTGCTTCCACAAGGTACCTTGCGTCGGCTCGGTTTCGCCCGTGAGCATCTTGATCATGGTCGACTTGCCGGCGCCGTTGGGACCAATCACCGCAATGCGCGACGAGAGCGCGCACGTCACGCTGACGTTGTTAATCGATGGCTTGGACGCAGCCCGGGTACGTGTACGAGCAGTCGGTCAAACGAATGATCGGCTTACCCTTGTTCTTGATATCGGCGAGGAAACCGGGCTCCGGGAACTTGAAGGCCACGGTCGCCGCGTCGAGGTCGTAGTACGCCTTGGCTTCCGGGCGGATCTTGACAAACTCCGACATGTTGCCGACGTACGTCTTGAGCTTGCGGTTCTTCTCGTAGTGGATGATGTTGGTGCAGACGTTGTCGAGGAAGCCCGAGTCGTGCGACACAATGAGCGACGTGATCGTCGTCATGGACGTGAGGTAGTTCTCGAGCCAGGCCACGTTGGCGACATCCAAGTGGTTCGTGGGTTCATCGAGGAGAAGGATATCGGCCTTCTGGAGCATGGCACGGGCGAGTTCGAGCTTCATCTTCCAGCCACCCGAGAGCGAGCCGACGGCCTGCGCCTGCATGGCATCCGTGAAGCCGACCGACGAGAGCGTGTCCGTGACTTCCTTGCGGGGCATGTCCTTGAAATCGGGGTCGTTGAGGACGAAGTCGACGACCGAGAGGTCGGCTTCCTCCGCCTGGAGGTTGTGCTCGACGTACACCGTCTTGAGCTCATCCTTGGACGGGAAACCCTCGAGCTGGCCGTTGGCAATGGCGCGCATGAGCGTCGACTTGCCGCAGCCGTTGGGGCCGCAGAGACCGTAGCGGTGACCCTTCTTGAGGTTCATGCGGGCGTTGTTGAGGAGGATCATACCACCGTACGCGAGCGAGAACTCGCAGTCGCAGAGGTCCTCACCAACATCGTCCTGGACGACGTCATCGGCGACCTTGACCTTGTTGTCCTTGTAGCACTTTTCGCGGAAGGCCTTGGTGATGTGCGGGATGTCAGCGTCCTTCATGAAGGCGCCGAAGTACGGGCGCACCGACTGCGACCACTCATCGGGCTTGAAGTTGCGGGCGACCGTGAGGTAGAGACCGCAGCCAGCGACGAAGTTGAGCGTGGCATCATCGATCTTGGCCTTCTTGCCGTTGGCATCACCCTCGAGCGAGAACTTGAGGGCTTCAAGGATCGACGAGAACTCGACCTTGGTCTCGTCTTCCGAGAGCTCGACCGAACCGGCGGCCATGAAGAGCGTCTCGTGGGCGCGCTTGCACACGTCACGGCACTCGGGGTCGGCGACCGACTCGATAATGCGCTTGAGCGTCGGGAGGACCTTGGGCGTGAAAAGCATGGCCTCGGCCGGGTCTTCGACGAGCTTGCACATGTTGTCAATAATGACAGCGGTCTGGCGCTTGACGGCCGTCTTGTTCTCGTTAAGACCACGGACAAGGAGCGGCTCCATGATGGCGAGGGCCGGGGCCTCGACCGTCTTGACGAACGTCGTCGACGCGAGCTTGTGGACGCACTCGGAGACTTCGGCCGGGTTGGCAATGCACGAGATGAGCGCAGGGATGAAGGGCTCGATATCGGCGTTCGAGGCCGTACCGCAGGCCTTGATCATGAGGGCATGGGCAGCCTTCTTGACCTCAGCACGCGTGTCCCAGATCTGCTCCGAGGCGTTGGGCATGATGTCGGGCAAGCAGCGCGAGAGCTGGACGGGGTGGAGCTCGGCGAGGTCGTTGATCAAGTTGAGCGCACCTTCCTTCGTCTGCCACTTCTTGGTGCGGTCAAGGCCCGAGAAGATCTGCGGGAGGAGCACACGGAGCGCGTTGTGGTTGGCGGCCTGCACGATGGCCTTGGCGGCGGCGGCAGCCGGCGCGCGGACCGTCATCTTCTTGTCGGCGTACAAGTCGAGGACGGCGCCGAGGAGCGGCGCAAGGTAGGGCTCAACGCGGGCTTCCTTGTTCTCCGCGATGGCGGCAATGACGGCGCACACGACCTGGCGCGTGTTGGCGTCGTTGTCGGCCAAAGCGGCAGCCAACTGCTGCGCGGCGGCGTTGAGGTCAAGCTCCTTGTTGTTCAAGACAAGGGCGGCGACCTGCGACGCGGCGACCGAGGCGTTCTCGGCGCCGGCACCGAAGGCCTGCTTGAGCGCTTCCGTGAAGTGTTGGCTGGCCATTGTTCTTCGAGGCGAAAGAAAAGTGAGCGCGGACCCGTGCACGCTCGCCACGGGCTTGTTGGCCAGTCAATCACGCCTGCCCAATCCTCGTACAGCAAGTGCAGATTGCCCTTTCGACTCGGCTTGAGTATGGGGGTGTCGCCCGACCAGCGCTGTAAGCCCTCTCGTTTTCTATATTCTCTGGCATCGAGTCTTGCCTCCTCCTGCATCGCAGGCACATCCTGGATCGAATAACCTCTGACAACCGATAGGTTGTGGGATACGATACATCACACAAGCAGGAGGTCCTGGTCGCGGTCGTCGGCGAGGATCTACGAAGTTCGAATGGGCCGCGTCGCGTGCGTGACCAACTTGGCTCGAAAGCGTAGTTCGAAGCCTACATCGCCAATGAAACGCTGCGAAAAAAGGACTGGATTGTGGGTGAATTGCGGCGGCGTTTCGAAATTCGCCTCGGTTGGTTGGACGCCGTCGATCCAAGATCGCTTGGTCTTTGTATGGGAGAGGCCATGCGAATCACATGCGATCTTTGGCACAAATGCAGTGGAAGATGTGATTGGCATGCACAACGCTCTATTAGCATAACAGCGCTCAAGGACGATGACGATGTCGCGACGGCTTGCACGGCCTGAGAATGCGACCTGCGCGCTGACCAGTACTTCCTGGAACCCCATCGCGTTGTAACAAGAGTAGCAAGACCAAGCAAGCACTGGCTGCCGCCACCACGCATGGTGTTGAGCCAACAGAAATATCGGCAACGCGAGTATCTTGCGCCTGCGAAAGGTCCCTGGATCATCATCATCTCGCGCGGAGAAGGATCGCCTTTGCGCTGGATGCTTCGAACTTCGGTCGTCCCTCGTTTTTACTGACGGTTTCAAGCGGCCAATCACGCGCCGGAACGTAGCGGATCTGAAACGGTTTTAGCCAATCACCAGCGACGCTTCGTTTAGGACCAGCCCGATAAATTTAGGTTGGCCAGTATACCCGCCCGTTGCGGAAAAACCGCCCGCAGCAACCAAGTGCAAAGTGGATGCCACGCCGACGACTGCTGGTGGCGGCGCAGACGACGACGGCCTGGATCAAAGCGCCAGGGTGTCGCTGGTAGTAGCACATCCGAGCGAGACCTTGCAGTGGGTGGCGGTGACATGGGTGTCGGCGAGCCTTTCAAAGGCGTACTAGTATCTTTGGATCAAGAAGCAGAGGAGCGAGATCGCTTGCCCGTGCCGACCCTCTACGAGCCTCGCGAGATGCACGAGCGTAGCATGCGCACGTGGAGCCATAGGTATGGGTAGCGAGCAGAAGGATTTTTGCTTTCGGTAACGCGCTCGTTGGCGATGGCTGCGCTACGGGTGTGCGTGGTTCCATCACAACTCGGCAACATTGTACGAGTACAGTACTACCCTCCCATGCAGGCTCTTAACACAGCAACACGTAGCATGCAGGCCATGGCACATGCGAGTTCTTCGCCTCAACATGACGTTGTGAGCACGTCGTGCACGCCAAGCGGCGATCCGTTTGGCATGAGCTCTCGACAACCATGTCCTCGCCCGCGTGGAATCGACCCAAACAATTTTGTCCATCTTGCACGGGTCTCGAAGAGCGTTCATATCGATCTGCAGCCTTTATTCGTTCATTGCGCGCGCGTGCGTCGACGTTACTCAACCACGATGGGAGCCGCAAAACTATACCAGTGAGATCTTCTCCAGTGTGGCGGCACGTCAAAGCATCGCACCCGTCGGACGGCACGGGCGGTTAGCGTGCGCGCTCTTCCCAAACGCGCGCATACGAGAGCGTCTGGTGCGATGCCATCGAGCCGTGCGGGCGATGACATCGATCGCGTGGCCCTGTGATGAGCTACGTATAGCGTTGTCGTGCATTTATGCCACAATAGCATCATCCTCTTGCGCGGGCATGCAAGGAGCCACCGCTCGACGACGCGACGTGAGAAACGTCGTCGCTGCTGTTTCTGCAGCTGCAATCGACTCTTGTCCGAGGTCTTGTGACAGCTCTTGTGACCCCTCGACCGTACTAGCAGACGCCACTCTGATCCGATTGTCGTTGGACATGGCGCATGGGTTTCGTCCGACGTAAGGCGCGTACTCATCGAGCATCTCCTCCAGAGCAGAGTACGACGACGCCGTAGCGTTCGTTTCCATTCGAACGACGACCTAAAAGTTGGCGAGAAAGAATAAGCGTGTCGCTGTGTATCCAATTAGAAGCAGCGACGGCCCGTCGCAGCCCACCGCGCAGCTTCTCTTGGGTCATACTCTCGCCTCGGAAGTGGGACGATAGCAGTGAGTCACACGGTGGCGGTACCTATTCCAAGGCCACGATCGATCCACTGGCTGCGGAGGGTCAAGGCAAGAACGGTCTCGATGCAATTCGCTACACGGTCCGTGCTGCAACGATCTTGCTTAGCCCACGACGCCGCAAGCTCATGGTCCAGAGATCAATGCTTCGGCCGCGCTGGGTGCGCGCCATTCGATTTGTCGGCCTGGCGCTGTTCTAAACACATGTGTTTGCAACAATCCATATATACAAACGTCGACACGGATGTTTTGAACACACGATCTTACGTGTTGGATACGCCGATTGAGGCGATCTCCAGGTATTATATTATACAGGTTTTCCATATAGATAACATAGGTATCACAACGAAAGCACCCATTCAAACGCAGAAAGTATCGGATGTTAAAGGTTATCATGGCGGCTGGGGCCAGGAGATCTTTGAGCTTTGGGTCATTTTCCAACTTGCGACCGACCGAAGAAGCCGCCGATCAAGACGCGTGGACACGATGGCCCCTTCCCCGACCGTCGCCGCCAACCTCAGCGAGGCCCTCAAGCAGGCCTTCGGGACGACCCCCGAGAACATGGCGGTCGCGGCCGGCCATGTTGCCGAGCTCGCCGCCGGCGCCAAGGACGTCAGCAGCTTGACGGCCCTCCTTAACGAGGGTCTCACCTCGACGGATGCGAACCATCGGCAGAGCGCATGCGTCGTCGTCAAGGCGATCGCCGAGAAGAAGGTCGCGCGCCTGGAACCGTACGTGACCCCCGTGCTCGGCAACGTCCTCGACTTGTACACGGACAAGAAGATGCAGGTCCGCGGTCCTGCCGCCGAGGCCGCCAAGGCCATCGTGCATGCCACGAACCGGAACGCGATCCGTGTGCTTCTGCCGCACATCTTTGGCGGCATGGACCGCACGAAGAAGTGGCAGACGAAGGCCGGCGCGTTGGATCTCATTCACGATCTCTCGGAGCTTCACCCCGTTCAAGTCTCGCGCTGCCTTCCCGACATCATCCCGAACGCGACCGAGCAAATGTGGGACACGCGCCCCGAAGTCAAGAAGGCCGCCCACGCCGTCATGATCAAGGCGTGCAGCACGGCGTCCAACGCCGATATCGAGCCGTTCATTCCCGCGCTCATCTCGTGCATTGCCAACCCGGCCGAAGTCTCCGAGTGCGTCCACAAGCTCGCGTCGACGACGTTTGTCAAGACGGTCGAGGCGCCGGCGCTCGCCATCATGGAGCCGCTCCTTGTCCGTGGTCTGAACGAGAACAAGACGTCGGTCAAGCGCCAGACCGCTGTCATCATTGACAACATGTGCAAGCTCGTGGAAGAGCCCGCTGAAGCGCTCCTCTTCACGCCCAAGGTCCTCCCGACGCTCAAGCGCATCATCGAAGCCGTCGCCGACCCCGAGTGCCGCGACGTGTGCACGCGCGCGCACGAGACGCTCTTCATGGCCGCCGGTTCGGTCGAGCTCTCGGAAGACGAGACCAAGATCGAGTTTGACTCGATCCTCCAGACGCTCAAGTTCATCCTGGAGAAGGACGCCAAGGCCAAGAAGGTCAAGATTGACGACTCGACACTCAACTTTGTCGCGGGCTGCGGCTTGTACCTCACGGTGGCGCGCAACTTCAAGCCCGAGGACTGGTCCAACTCGGTCAAGCCGTACCTTGGCGCGTTCTTGGCCGAGGGCGATATTCCCGCCATCACCAAGGGCTTCCGCGAAAAGTGCTACAAGGACAACAAGGTCAAGGTTGCCGAAGATGTCGTCCAGGAAGACGAGGGCGAGGACCTCTGCGACTGCGAGTTCTCGCTCGCGTACGGCGGCATGATCCTCCTCAACAACGCGCGCCTCAACTTGAAGAAGGGCCACCGCTACGGTCTCTGTGGCCGCAACGGCTGCGGCAAGTCGACGCTCATGCGCGCCATTGCCAACGGCCAGCTCGAGGGTTTCCCGTCCAAGGATGAGCTCAAGACAGTGTACGTCGAGCACAACTTGCAAGCGGAGGAAGCCGACCTCTCGGTCGTCGATTTTGTGTTGAACGACCCCGACTTTAAGAACACACCTCGGAAAGAAGTCAAGGACACGCTGGCGTCGGTCGGGTTTACGGAAGCGATGCAGGCGCAGGCGGTCGGCTCGCTCTCGGGTGGCTGGAAGATGAAGCTCGAACTCGCCCGTGCGATGCTCCAGAAGGCCGATATCCTCCTCCTCGATGAGCCGACCAACCACTTGGATGTCGCCAACGTGGCCTGGCTCGAGAACTACCTCACGTCCATGACGACGATCACGTCGCTGATCGTCTCGCACGACTCGGGCTTCCTCGACAACGTCTGCACCAACATCATCCACTACGAGAAGAACCGCAAGCTCAAGACGTACGTCGGCAACATGTCGGAGTTTGTCAAGATCCGCCCGGAAGCCAAGGCGTACTACGACCTCGACGCGGCGACCGTGGCCTTCAAGTTCCCAGAGCCTGGTTTCCTCGCCGACATCAAGAACAAGGGCAAGCCCATCATTCGTCTCACGAATTGCTCGTACACGTACCCCGGGTCGTCCAAGCCGTCGATCAACAACGTCAGCGTGACGTGCGCGCTCTCGTCGCGCATTGCGGTGATTGGTCCCAACGGCGCCGGCAAGTCGACCATGATCAAGATGCTCACGGGCGAAACCGAGCCGACGCAAGGTACCTTGTGGAAGCACCCGGCCATGCGTTTCGCGTACGTCGCTCAGCACGCGTTCCACCACATTGAGCAGCACTTGGACATCTCGGCCAACCAGTACATCCAGTGGCGCTTCCAGTCCGGCGAGGACAAGGAGCTCATGGCCAAGGAGACGCGCAAGTTGACGCCGGAAGAGAAGGAGCTTCTCGCCAAGCCCGTCAACTGGGAAGGCGAGAAGCGCGTCTTCGAGTCGATCGAGAACCGCCGCAAGCTCAAGAAGTCGTTCGAGTACGAAGTCAAGTGGATGAAGCTTCCGAACACGGAGAACTCGTGGATCCCGCGTGAGAAGCTCGAGAAGTGGGGTTTCGACAAGATCCTCCAGATCGCCGATGATCGCGAAGCTGCCCGCGCCAACATGCAGGCGCGTCCCGTCACGGCCATTGCGGTGCAAAAGCACCTCGACAACTTTGGTTTGGCGGCCGACTTTGGTACGCACTCGCGCATGCGCGGTCTCTCGGGTGGTCAGAAGGTCAAGGTCGTCCTCGCCGCTGCCATGTGGC